TTTCCCGACAAATTGCAATGTTTGGAGGTCAGAATCAGCGGCTCGAAAACTACAAAAGAACATACCGTGTCGTTCCAGAGGGGAACGTCTAACCCATCGTTTAACCCATCGTGTATCTTCGCACGCGCGACGTGTCACGGGGCTCGGCGATAATCATGCAACGAGTTCGCGAGGATCGCGACGTAATTGTTACAGCGGAGGTGATTCGTGTATATCGTGCGGGGCGATAACTCAAGCAGCGGTAACTACGATACGCCGGGCCAAGTAAAGTTGGCATAGTTACTTCGCCAAGCTGGATTATTAATGTCCCTTCCTGGGGGAGGGAGGTCGGTAAGACGACCGCGCGATTTCTCCGTTATCGCGCGGCCGGCGGGTGCCGTGAGCGTCTCAAAAACGAGGGCGAAGAAGAAGAAGCGTAACCTCCTGGTCAAGAAGCCGAAAGTTTCGGGCGTGGCGCCTCGGTATAAACTCGGTCGGTGGGGGGCAGGAGGAAAGGGGGACACGGAAGGGGAAAGAGAAACACTTTTATCGAGCGTCGACACTCGGTGAACTTAGCCCGGGGAAGATAGAAGAACTCTCGGGAACTCGACGCGCGAACTTCGACCATTTAATGCACCCACTCTGTACATATGCAACTAGGTAGGTAACGGCGAAGACGCGGCTCGTGGTAATAATGTCGGTCCCGCGGGAGAACCGCGTCGTCGTCGGATACACTTCTCTCTCTCTCTCTCCCTCTATCTCTCTCTTTCTCTGGCACACGCGCGCGTCGTGTTGTTTCTATAACGACCGACGAATAGCAAAAGCGTGCAAAAACAGCCGCGGTATCGGGGGAGAATTAATTATTCCCGCTCTAAATATTTTTGCGTCGCGGCCCGGAAATATCCCTTTTTAAATTTTCCTTCGTCCTTGTTCCTCTGTTTCGTCTTCTTTCTTTTTTTTTTGTTTCGCATTTCTCTCCTTTTTTTCTCTTCTTCGTCGAACTCGGCCCCATCGCCGACGCTCGGGTAATTACGGACGTGGCGACGACGGAACTCGATACTTTACGATTGAGCGAAGTCGCTCTCTTGAATCTCTCTTTCTTTCTCTTCCTCTCTCCTCGAAGATCGATCCGTTCTCGATTCAATCTCCCGGTCTAGTTCGGTTTAGCCTCGGCTTCCCGGCCCGACTTATCTTGGTTTAGTTTAGCGTGCTTGTCCGCTTTGTTCGGTTTTGCGAAACTTTACAACTCGACGGTATTCGCAACTCAAACACTAAGAGCCACGGGTCGGTCCGAGGGTCTTCACGCGTCGTTTCCACTTTGGGAAAAAGTGATAGAAGAAAAAGAAGAAGAAGAAGAGGAACGAAAAGGAATAGAGAAAATTAAAAACAATTGTTAGACTTCGATTGTGTGTCGGAAGCGATTGGGCGCGCTCCTCAACTCCCCCGGCTTTTCCCGGTCGTTGGCAATTCCACCTGCCGGGCCGGTTCGAATCGACAGAGTTCCGTGAGAGGAAGATACCAGCTGAATATTCGCGGCAGCGGCGCACACGGAGGATACTATGTAACGCGCGTTTCTCGTCGGCGACGAGAAACTGTATATCCAGCCATTCGCTCGAATTGCCGCTCGCGGGTACGCGTACTCGTCCCTCCCCTCCCCTGTTCCCGTTTAGCATACGTCGAAACTGCCCGGTCTTATTATTCTATACGTGGCGCGGCGCGGGCGAAGGGCCGACACGAAGACAGGTCGGTGGAATGTGTCAGCAGCCAATGTGGCGTGGCACGTTGAGAAAAAGATCGGGTCGCGCTAACGGCTCTGCCTCGATGCGCTTATTTGACACTTCGAGCGACAAACGGCCACCTTATTACCTTCCCATCGTCGTGTCGTTGCCGTCGTCGGCGTCCTCGTCGTCGTCAGTGGCGTCGGTGGCATCCCCCGTCGGCGAAAGCTTTTCCGCTGATCGATTTCTGGAATCTTCCATTCACATTCAGCGGAGCGAGGAATTCGAGCGGAAAACAAATTTCATCCGATACTCCGCAGTCGAATGTTTTTCTCGCCCCCCCCCCCCTTCCCGCGTGCGCGAA